TTTTAGGTTTTTTGTTTGTTTGTTTGTTTTTCATAGAGATGGGGTCTTGCTGTTTCCCAGGCAGGTCTCAAACTCCTGGCTTCAAGAGATCCTTCCACCTTGGCCTCCCAAAGTGCTGGTGTGTGTGTGTGTGTGTGTGTGTGTGTGTGTGTGTGTGAGATTTTGCCCTATTTCCTTCCTGCCTGCCTTCCTTTACCGTAACATACCTTAGCCCTGTCTCTTCCTGCACCTGCTGCCCTGTCTCTTGGCCTGTGTCATTAGATCCTGGACATGGCACTGCCTTTCCCTCTGCTCATATGGACCATTACTATACCCCTCATATGTTTCCCTGTTTCTTTTTTTTCTTTTCTTTGAGATGGAGCCTTGCACTGTCACTGGGGGCTGGAGTGCAAACTCAGCTTACTGCAACCTCCGCCTCCCAGTTCAAGCGATTCTCCTGCCTCAGGCTCTGGAATAACTGGGATTACAGGTGCCCACTACCACGCTCGGCTAATTTTTTGTATTTTTAGTAGAGACAGGGTTTCACTATGTTGGCCAGGCTGGTCTCGAACTACTGACCTCATGATCCGCCTACCTCAGCCTCCCAAAGTGCTGGGATTACAGGCATGAGCCACCGCGCCTGGCTGATCTCTGTTTCTTTTAGACAGTTCTGTACAAATTAAGTACCCAATAATTGTATAGCGGTTTGCTGGTTGATTTGTGTTTATTTCATGCTAATTTATCCTGGGCCTCTAGATATTTCTCAATCCACATATTCCATAAGTGATCATTTTATTCTTTCCTCTTCTCCCAGATTTACACACATATTTTTTAGTTTCTAATTTAAGTTGGAGGATTAGATTTTTTTGGCACCACACATCTCCGGACTTCAGACTTGTTTTCATTATGGCTGATATCAGAAATGGGCTTGGAAAAAAGGAAGAGATTCTCTCACTTCAGCCTCCTGAATAGCTGGGACTATAGGTGCGAACCTCTGCACCTGGCTACTTTTTAAACTTTGCAAAGATGGAGTCTTGCTATGTTGCCCAGGCTGATTTTGAACTCCTGGCCTGAAGTGATCCTTCTGCCTTGGCCTCTGAAAGTGCTGGAGTACAGGTGTGAGCCACCTAAATGAACTTTATTTATTTTTATTTTTATTTTTGAGACGAAGTTTCGCTGTTGTTACCCAGACTGGAGTGCAACGGCACGATCTCAGCTCACTGCAACCTCCGCCTCCTGGGTTCAGGCAATTCTCCTGCCTCAGCCTCCCGAGTAGCTGGGACTACAGGCACGCACCACCATGCCCAGCTAATTTTTGTATTTTTAGTAGAGACGAGGTTTCACCACGTTGACCACGATGGTTTTAATCTCTTGACCTCGTGATCCACCCGCCTCGGCCTCCCAAAGTGCTGGGATTATAGGCGTGAGCCACCACCCCCGGCCTAAATGAACTTTAAAACTTGTAACCAAATGACCTGACCTACAGTCATAACTATTCACAGAATTTTTGAATCTGGAGTTGATTACAGATAATTTTTCATTTATATAATGACATTTTCTTAAGCATATTCTATGCTCAAATGACTTTTTAAATGTTCTAAAACAAATTTTAAAGATAGGATTTCACTCTATCACTCAGGCTGGAGCACAGTAGGGGATCATGGCTCATTGCAGCCTGGAACCCTGAGCTCAAGCAATCCTCCTACCTCAGCCTCCAGCGTAGCCAGCACTCCATGTGTACCACTGCACCCAGCTATTTCTTTTTAAAATTTTTTGTAGAGACAAGGTCTTGCTATGTTGCCTAGGCTAGACTTGAGCCTCTTGCTTCAAGCAATCCTCTGTTTCGACCTGCCAAAATACTGACATTACAGGCGTGAGCCACCATGCCATGCTTGAACTATTTATTTATTTTTTTGTTTTTGTTTTTGAGACATGGTCTTGCCCTGTTTCCCAGGCTGGAGTGCAGTGGGATGATATTGGCTCACTTCAACCTCTGCCTCCTGGGCTTAAGCCTCTCAAGTAGCTGGGACTACAGGCGCACCACCACGCCCAGCTAATTTTCTTTTCTTCTTCCTTTTTTTTTTTTTTGAGACAGAGTTTCGCTCTTGTTGCTCAAGTTGGAGTGCAATGGTGAGATCCTGGCTAACTGCAACATCTGCTAGGTTCAAGCAATTCTCCTGCCTCAGCCTCCCGAGTAGCTGGGATTACAGGCATGCACCACAATGCCTGGCTAATTTTTGTATGTTTAGTAGAGACAGGGTTTCACCATGTTAACCAGGCTGGACTCAAAGTCCTGACCTCAGGTGATCTGCCCGCCTCAGCCTCCATAAGTATTGGGATGACAGGCGTGACCCACCTCGCCAGGCCAGTTTGAACAATTTAATCCAAAATTTAAAAATTCATTCTATTTTATTTAGCTGCTCAAATATGGCTATTAACAAATCATTTTTATATATGGGGGAAACTATTCCTTAGATCATTCTCAACTTGTCTGTAAGTTTACTTTCAGTATTTAAGTAAGCCAAGGACATTGCTTGAAGACAGGGGAAAAGCTAATTTTGAAGTAATCTTCAAAAGGCCAACTCTAATAAGAAATGAATAAATACCTAATACCAAAGGGGAAAGAAAATTTCATTCTTGCGATAATGTTTACATTCCATCCATGATCTGCTTCAATTGTTCTAAAATACTTTTATTTTAATAACACAAGTATTAAAGATGCCTACTTAGGGAATTTTCCAATAATCCAAATTGCTATTTGAAAGAAAACTTTACCTACGGATAAATTATTGTTTTAATTCTCCGTGATCTTAAATGAAAAATGTTAACCCAGCATCCCTCTAATTTTAAAAAGGCAGATAATAATTGCATTCAAGGATTCCCTTCATCTCTCGGTAAAAAGCATCAATTTGGGCTGGGTGTGGTGGCTCACGCCTGTAATCCCAGCAATTTGGGAGGCCGAGAAGGGCGGGTCACTTGAGGTCATGAGTTGGAGACAAGCCTAGCCAAAATGGTGAAACCTCGTCTCTAATAAAAATACAACAAATTAGCCAAGTGTGGTGGCGCGCCTTTAATCCTAGGTACTCAGTAGGCTGAGGCTGGAGACTCGCTTGAACCTGGGAGTGCAGTGAGCCGAGATCGCGCCACTGCACTCCAGCCTGGGCAACAGAGTCAGACTCTGCCTCAAAAACAATACAAAAAAAGGTATCAACTTAAATACATCCTTGTATAAATGCCGTGCAGGAGAGATGTCAGGGATTTTCACATAGTTGTGAAATAATGGCATTTTAAAGGTACAGTAAAAACACAGGTGTACGTAGCTTCGTTTCATTTGAATGTCTTTACTGGTCAGGAAACCCAATCACTGTCAGCGCGGGTCAAGTTCCCGATCTTTTAATAAATAAGGGTGATGAACTGAATTCACATCTTCAGTTTTTTTTCTCCTGGCAGCAGTGCCCGCATCTCACCAGGCGAGGGCAGTAAGAAGACGCCGCCTCGCCGTTACTCACGCGCGGAGGGGCGTTCCCAGGGGCAGAAAGAGGCGGACCTTCCACCTGCACCCGCCCCAGGCGCGGGGCTATGGTTCAAACCGTGACAGACATCAGAGTCCTTGAGAACCCCTGGCCACTCCTGCAGGGTCACCTTCCCGCGCGGGATGCCCAAGTAGGGCAGATGAGGTCGGGAACTCCTGGGGGATCCCGGGGCCTTCAGTTAGCCTGAGACCCTGGGGCGGGCGAAATCCTGGAGAATGCGGGAGGGACCCCTAGGGCGGCCAGCGTTCTCCCCGCCTGCGCAAACTGCAAGGAGCTGGGGATGCTGGCTGCCAGCCTTTCTCCTGGACTGCGACATTATCACCAAATTATATAAAGACGTCATGCAAGAAGTGATAACATGTGCTGCGACGTTCTGGAAGTAACTCTTGAAGCTAAAAAAAAAAAAAAAAAAAAAAAAGCAATGAAAAAAATCAAGAGTAAAGAGACAGTGAGATGCCATGTCAATATCTGTAGTTATGGAATAGAAAAGAAATGTTACAAAGTGCTCTGCAAGTTCTATAAGAAATTTACACCATACTGGCCTTTGTGCATCAGACAATTACTTCATTCATTTTTTTAAATGACCAAACTTATTCTAATATTTTGGGTTGGAATCCCACTAAATGAAATACCCCTTTTGAATGGCACATATGTCTTTTAGAGATGAATCTCAACATTTTTATTTTTATTTTTATTTTATTGAGACAGAATCTTGCTCTTTCGCCAGGCTGGAGTGCAGTGGTGAGATCTCGGCTCACTGCAACCTCTGACTCCCTGGTTCAAGCAATTATCCTTCCTCAGCCTCCCGAGTACCTGGGATTACAGGCACGCGCCACCACACCCAGCTGATTTATAAATTTTTAGTAGAGACGGGTTTCACCATGTTGGCCTGGATGGGCCCTATCTTCTGACCTCAGGCGATCTCGCACCTGGCTAAAAAGCTTTTTGTTTAAATAGGAGTTTTTATTCTTTCAGCTGTCAGTGGAAGGAGCAGTTACTTGGGTTGATATAGATGCAAGCCGTAACGTTAGGAGTGTGGGCCGAGGTACCCGCCCAGCCACTTGCTACTGGATGCCCTTGGGCTGGTCACTGGGCCCCGAGCCTCAGTGCGGAGGAGCTGGTGATAGAATAGTAACAGGGTGCGGGGCAGGGGCAATGACTCACGCCTGTAGTCCCAGCACTTTGGGAGGTCGAGGCGGGAGGCGGGGAGGAGTCTGACAGCCACCTGGGCAACATAGCGAGACCCCATCTCTACAAAAAATAAAAAATTAGCCCAAGAGTTCAAGGCTGCTGTGCGCTACGATGGCGCACAGCACTCCAACCTGGGCAACAGAGCAAGTCCTTGTCTCTTTTAGAATACGAAGAAAGAAAAGAAAGGAAGGAAGGATCATAGTGCCCCGCGAGGTTGCCCAGCGCGCAGACCCTGGCGGCAGAGGGTGTCCCCGCAGCGCTGCCCGCCAGACCCCGCCCCGAATCCCGCCCGCGTCCTGCCCGGGCCGCGCCTGGAGGCGGAGCCACCCGCGGAGCTAAATCGGGCAAAGGCCGGGCTGACGGGTCCCTGCGCCGCCGTCATGGAGCAGTCCCGCGCCGCCTCCCGCCTGCGGATCGTGCTGGGCCACCTCGGTAGCCCCTCGGCCCTGAACATCGAATCCTTTGCGCTGCGCGGGGCTCGGGCTGGACTTGGCTCCGGCGCCTGCGTGGTGGCCCCGGCCCGGGTGGAGGAAAGCCACCGGGGAGTAGGCATCCCGGCCCCGGGGCCTCCTCAACGCCGGGTCCCCGCTTGGGTCCCGGCTCCGGGAAGAGCGGGGAGGAGGCTGGGTCCTAGGAGGACACGCGCGGCCGCCGTGGGCTCGGGGCTGGTGCCGCGTCGCGCTGCCCTCCGGATTCCTGGGGGCCTCTGCTCCTCGCTTTGTGGAGACCGAGCGGTAGGAAGGTCGTTTCAGCTGCCTGAGACCTTGTGGGCTCGGCCGCGCGTGACCCTCGCCGCTGCCCGGAGACCCAGCGATGTCCAGGCTCACGGTGCAGAGGCGCGCAGGGCTGCCGGGAGGGAGCCGGGGCCGGCGGGACGGGGCCCTCCAGGCAGGAGCTGTCGGCCTCCCGGGTTGCGTTCCCTTACCTCCCTCCTGGACTATGGCCTTGTCACCGAGTTATATAAAAACACTATTAAGGGTTTGAGGTCCCGCGCGGGGGCACGTGCCACGCCTGTAGTCCCGGCGCTTCGTCAGGCCGGCCAAGGCCAGGAGTTCAAGGTTACAGTGAGCCGTGGTGGCCAGTGCACTCCGAAACAGAGAGAAACAGACAGAACCAAAGGGTTCCATGTTGCTCGATGAGAGTGACATTCCAAAAGTAACGGATTAAGCTAAAGAAACAAGGCGATCCTGTCAACAATCTGCAGTTACTGGATAGAAAAGAGATCTTTAAAAGGAATTTCTAGGGTTTTGCTTTTTTGTTTTTTTGTGTTTTTGAAACAGGATCTCACTGTCACCCAGGCTGGAGTGCAGTGGTGGTGGGATCTCTGCTCAATCCTGGGCTCAAGCGATCTTCCCACCTCAGCCTCCCAAGGAGCTGGGACTGCAGGGTGGCTCCACGACGCCTGGCTCATTGCTATTATTATTTTTTTTGTTTTTTGAGATGGAGTCTTGCTCTATCTCCAGGCTCACTGCAATCTCTGCTCACTGCAACCTCCGCCTCCCCTGCCTCAGCCTCCTGAGTGTAATTTGTTTTATTTACTTATTTTCTGAGATGGAGTCTCTCCCTGTCTCCCCGGCTGGAGTGCAGTGTCGCAATTGGCTCACTGCAACCTCTGCCTCTCTGGTTCAAGCAGTTCTCCTATCTTAGCCTCCTGAGTAGCTGGGTCTACCGACATACGCTACCAGGCCTAATGTTTTTATTTTTAGGAGAGACGGGGTTTCACTATGTTGGTCAGGCTGGCCTCAAACTCCTGACCTCAGGTGATCCACCCACCTCGGCCTCCCCAAATGCTGGTATTACCAGCTTGAGCCACCGCACCTGACCTAATCTGTATTTTTAGTAGAGACAGGGTTTCACTATTTTGGCCAGGCTGGTCTTCAACTCTTGAGCGCAAGTGATCCACTCACCCGGGTCTCCAAAACTGCTAGGATTACAGGCGTGACCCACCGCGCCTGGCCTTCTGCGTTTTACTTTACTTGCCTTAATTCACATCCTAGGTAGGTCATCCCACTTCAGGGACTGTTTCCTCTGCCAGTTTCCATCCTCAACAATTCCAGTAAGTAGGTTGACTTTTAATTTTGAAATGTGTATGTAAAAGCTTCTTGAGTGGTAATGAAGATATACTATATAATATGTTGCCTGCTTAGAATTTTATTTTTTTAATTTTTTTTGTTTTTTATTTTATTATTATTATTTTTTTGAGATGGAGTTTCGCTCTGGTTGCCCAGGCTAGAGTGCAATGGCACACCTTGGCTCATCACAACCTCTGCCTCCTGGTTTCAAGCGATTCTCCTGCCTCAGCCGCCCTAATAGCTGGGATTAGAGGCATGGCCACCATGCCTGGCTAATTTTATATTTTTAGTAGAGACAGGGTTTCTCCATGTTGGTCAGGCTTGTCTCAAACTCCCGACCTCAGGTGATCCACCTGTCTCGGCCTCCCAAAGTGCTGGGATTACAGGTGTGAGCCACCACGCCCGGCCCTAGAATTTGATTATATAAATCCTCTGTTTCCAGGACTCATTCTAATTAGTACAGTTGTGGAAAATTTTGAAGACTGATTCTCTATATGTATTTTAAGAAGGAAAAATACCAGAAAATACATAATCCAACATCTATTTATTTATTTAAATAGAGGTGGGCCCTTCCTATGTTGCCCAGGCTGGTCAAGAACTCCTGAGCTGGGCGTAGTGGCTCATGCCTGTAATCCAAGCACTTTGGAGGCCAAGGCAGGCGGATCACCTGAGGTCGGGAGTTCAAGACTAGCCTGACCAACATGGTGAAACCCCGTCTTTAAAAAAAAAAAAAGAACTCCTGGGCTAAAAAGCAATCCTCCTACCTTGGCTGCCCAAACTGCTAGGATCACAGGTGTGAGCCATCACGCCCAGCCTTATAATCTGACTTTTAAAAATTCAGTTATTATGTATCACACTTAAATTAACTTGTGGCTGGGTGCTGTGGCTCATGCCTGTAATCCCAGCACTTTGGGAGGCCGAGCCAGGCAGATCACTTGAGGTCAGGAGTTTGAGACCAGCCTGGTCAACATCGCAAAACCCCATTTCTTCAAAAATACAAAAAGTAGCTGGGCGAGGTGGTGTGCGCCTGTAATCTCAGTTACTCAGGAGGCAGAAATGGAAGAATCACTTGAACCTGGAAGGTCGAGGTTATAGTGAGCTGAGATCATGCCACTGCACTCCAGCCTAGGTGACAGAGCCAGACTCCATCTCAAAAAAAAAAAAAATTAGCTTATAATTTGGTTATATGGATATTAGCTAGCATATTTGGCTTATCTTAAATCATCTTTAAAGGATGATTTAAAGGGGAGATCTTGACCTTCCTAAATATTCTCAATAGCGATAATTCTAATCTTAAGGAATAGGTTGGGTGGATTTGAGTACATTTATTTGGATTTTGTTACTTTTTGGAGTGAATCAACTGGACAGTTAAAAATATAAAATTTATTGAATTTGTCTTCCATGTGAAAAGTCATATGTATTCATTCATTACAGAAACATCAGAGAAATAGAAGGAGTTAAAAAAAAATCATTCTTAATTCCCTTACTGAAGGCAAGCACTGTTAAAAATTGCTTTGGTGGGCTGGGCGCGGTGGCTCACGCCTGTAATCCCAGCACTTTGGGAGGCCGAGGCGGGTGGATCACGAGGTCAAGAGATAGAGACCATCCTGGTCAACATGGTGAAACCCCGTCTCTACTAAAAATACAAAAATTAGCTGGGCATGGTGGCGCGTGCCTGTAATCCCAGCTACTCAGGAGGCTGAGGCAGGAGAATTGCCTGAACCCAGGAGGCGGAGGTTGCAGTGAGCTGAGATCGCGCTATTGCACTCCAGCCTGGGTAACAAGAGCGAAACTCTGTCTCGGAAAAAAAAAAAAAAAAATGCTTTGGTGTCTTTCTTTGCAGGCTTTTCTTTTTTTCATATCTTTTCATGTCTTGGTTTTATATCATTGTAAAAAATGTTTTATTATGGTAAGCATTGTCTATACTATTATATGTTCTTAATTTTTAATGTCTGAATCATATTCACTGAGTGAACATAATGTCAGTAGTTAATTTTTCTTCTATTAATGCACTATTTTTGGTGACTATAGTTAATGTTTTGAACATAAGGCTTAAGTTTTCAAATTATTTCCTTGGTCGTAGAAATGCTGGATTGGGCCAGGCAAGGTGGTTCACACCTGTAATCCCAGCACTTTGGGAGGCTGAGGCAGCTGGATCAATTCAGCTCAGGAGTTTGAGCAGAAGTTTGAGACCACCCTCGCCAAAATGGTGAAACTCTGTCTCTGCTAAAAATACCAAAAGATTAGCCGGACATGGTGGCGGGTGCCTGTAATCCCAACTACTTGGGAGGTAGATACAGCAGAATCACTTGAACTCGGGAGGTGGAGATTACAGTGAGCCAAGACTATGCATTGCACTCCAGCCTGGGCAATAAGAGCAAAACTCTGTCTCAAAAAAAAAAAAAAAAAAGGAATGCTGGATTGAAGAGCATGAACATTTCTTAGGGTTTTTTGTTTGTTTGTGTTTGTTTTTGTTTTTGAGACGGAGTCTCACTCTGTCGCAAACTGGTCTCAAACTCTTGACCTCAGTTGATCCACCCGCCTCAGCCTCCCAAAGTGCTCAGATTATAGGCATGAGCCGCCACACCTGGCCTCATATTTTTTAAACATATTTTATAAAAATATGTATAAAACATATTTTTATGTTGTAAGTAAAAAAACATTTTTTTTGAGACAGGGTATCACTCTGTCACCCAAGCCAAAGTGCAGTGGCACATCCAGTATTTCTTGTAGAGACAGTTTCATCACGTTGCCTGGGCTGGTCTTGAACTCCTGACCTCAAGTGATCCGCTTGCCTCGGCCTTCCAAAGTGCTGGGATTACAGGTGTGAGCCATTGTACACAGCCTGTACTGTAACTTATTTGGGGATTCTTTTTCTCCTTTAGGTATAGTCTGGATAATAATGTTCTCACCCTGGAACAGAGAAAATTTTATGAAGAAAATGGGTATCTTGTAATTAAAAATCTGGTATCTGATGCTGATATTCAACGGTTTCGGTCAGTAACACTATTTGTTATTTTACAAAAGTATGTATTGTGTGCACGTAATGAGAATACGTGGTGGATTCACTCCTGCATGTACAGATTTTTTTAATTATTTGGTTTGTTGGGAAATATTTAAAAGCATGGGCTCAGGTGCCAAACTGGCCTTTTTATTTTTTATAGAGAAAGGGTCTTGCTCTGTTGTGTAGGCTGGAGTGCAGTGGTGCGATCATAGCTCACTGCAGCCTTGAATTCCTGGGCTCAAGCAATCATCCTGCCTTAGCCTCCTGACTAGCTGGGACCACATGTGTTCACCACCACACTTGGCTAATTTTTAATTTGTTTTTAGAGATGGGGGTCTCACTATGCTGCCCAGGCTGGTCTTGAATTCCTGGCCTCACCCTCCTGAGTTGCTGGGATTACAGTTGGGAGCCACCACACCCAGGCTTCAGTGTCAGCTCTGCCACTTAATACCATGTGTCCTGGGGCAGTTTACTCAACATCCCATGCCTCCGATTTCTCATCTGTAAAATGGGGATAGTAATAGTACTTGTCAGGCATGGTGGTTCACACCTGTAATCCCAGCACTTTGAGAGACTGAGGTGGGTGAATCGTTTGAGGTCAGGGGTTCAAGACAAGCCTGGCTAACATAGTGAAATACCATCTCTACTAAAAATTTAACTCCTTTCCACATCCAGCTCTAAGAGTAATAGTTCCTAGGCTCAAGTGATCCACCTGCCTAGGCCTCCCAGGGTGCTGGGATTACACGAGTAAGTAATTAAAAAAAAAAAAGTTAGCCGGGAGTGGTGGCAGGTGCCTGTAATCCCAGCTACTGGGAGGCTGAGGCAGGAGAATTGCTTGAACCTGGGAGGCAGAGGTTACAGTGAGTCCAGATCGCACCACTGCACTCCAGCCTGGGCAACTGAGCAAGACTCCATCTCAAGATAATAATAATAATAGTACCTATGTCCTACTGTTGTTAGGACCAAATAAGGTGAAATATACAGAAAGCACTTTGAATAGAGCCCATGGTAAGTGCTACAGAAGTGTTTGCTATTATTATTACAATGTAACCAAATCATAACATTTCCCTACTAGTATGCTAAGCTAAGGAATGATTTAATTCTGGTAGTGGATTCTAACCTGACAATTTCTCCTTGCTTTCACTGGAATTATTCTCCCTCGAGCTGGAGGTCAACTGAGTGCAGAGACACTACCCCTCAAGTCTGCAAAGCTTTCTGAAGAGGAGGGCTGGGCAGGTGCTTCAAGCTAGTGGTAACAACAACATTTGCAAGTTTAATTTTCTAGGAATGAGTTTGAAAAAATCTGCAGAAAGGAGGTGAAACCATTAGGATTAACGGTAATGAGAGACGTGGCCATTTTGAAATCAGAATATGCTCACAGTGAGAAGACGGTCACAAAGGTCCAGGATTTCCAGGAAGATAAGGAGCTCTTCAGATACTGCACTCTCCCCGAGGTCAGAGACCGCTCTTGCTTTGCTTCCGCTTCACTGCCAGTGCGTATGCCTGCCTGTAAAACCCGCTGATCTGGCCCGGCGCAGTGGCTCACCTGTGTAATCCCAGCACCCTGGGAGGCCTAGGCAGGTGGATCACTTGAGCCTAGGAACCATATCAGTCTTAGAGCTGGATGTGGGAGTAAAGTTAGCAGATTTTATTTTATTTTCCTTTGTTTTGTGGAGATGGCATCCCACTCTGTTGCCCACACTGGAGTGCAGTGGAGATGGCATCCCACTCTGTTGCCCACACTGGAGTGCAGTGGAGATGGCATCCCACTCTGTTGCCCACACTGGAGTGCAGTGGAGATGGCATCCCACTCTGTTGCCCACACTGGAGTGCAGTGGAGATGGCATCCCACTCTGTTGCCCACACTGGAGTGCAGTGGAGATGGCATCCCACTCTGTTGCCCACACTGGAGTGCAGTGGAGATGGCATCCCACTCTGTTGCCCACACTGGAGTGCAGTGGTGTGATCTCGACTCACTACAACCTCTGCCTCCCGGATTCAAATGATTCTCCTGCCTCAGCCTCCCAAGTAGCTGGGTTTACAGGTGCCCACCACCACACCTGGCTAATTTTTGTATTTTTAGTAGATCCAGGGTTTCACCGTGTTGGTTAGGCTGGTCTCGAACTCCTGACCTCAGGTGATCCGACCACCTTGGCCTCCCAAAGTGCTAGGATTACAGGCATGAGCCACTGTGCCCAGCCAATTTCCTATGTTTCTAAAGTGTGAGATCAGTATCTGGTGGTTCATGCCCAGGAGGTTTAAATTATTTTTAATAGCTAGATATTTATTCTAAAATGTATTGGAAACAACTCAACAGTGAACCACACTCATGATTTCAGGAATGTTGTTAATTAGGACAAGATGAAATAAAGGCCAGGCACAGTGGCCCTTTGGGAGGCTGAAGCTGGAGAATCGCTTGAGGCCAGGAGGTCAAGGCCAGCCTGGGCAACATAGTGAGACCACTGTCTCTATTTTCAAAAAAGAAGACAAAAATACACAAAAGGATTAAGTAGAAGAAGTGAGCTAACTGAGGATAGGGAAATAATTGGCTAGATAACAGCACAAAGTATGCCAGAAGTTGTGAGGATGGGTCTTAAAGCGTTGGGATTTAGGAAATCCCAGCCTAGGGGAATGTCAGAAAAGACCAGGCTTTAGGCCGGGTGCGGTGGCTCACGCCTGTAATCCCAGCACTTTGGGAGGCCGAGGCAGGTGGATCATGAGGTCAAGAGATCGAGACCATCCTGGTCAACATGACGAAACCCCATCTCTACTAAAAATACAAAAAATTAGCTGGGCATGGTGGCGCGTGCCTGTAATCCCAGCTACTCAGGAGGCTGAGGAAGGAGAATTGCCTGAACCCAGGAGGCGGAGGTTGCGATGAGCCGAGATCGCGCCATTGCACTCCAGCCTGGGTAACAAGAGCGAAACTTCATCTAAAAAAAAAAAAAAAAAAGACAAGGCTTTGTAAAAAGCAGGTATATGCCTGACTCCTAGGCTTCTGATAACCTTTCAAGGGCTTCAGACTCAAATTGCCAAAATTCCTTATACCCAAGAGCTCAAATAGTGAGGAAGCAGTAGAAAGTGGCTCATTTTTGGTGTCTTTTTTTTTTTTTTTTTTCAGAATCCGAATTTGAATATCATGGTTTTCTTTTTTCTTCTTTTTTCTTTCTTTCTTTTTTTTTTTTTTTTTTGAGACAGAGTCATCCAGGCTGGAGTACAATGGTATGATCCCAGCTCACTGCAACCTCCATCCGCCTCCTGGGTTCAAGTGATTCTCCTCCTTCAACTTCCCAAGTAGTTGGGATTCCAGGCACCTACCACCACACCTGGCTAATTTTTGTATTTTTAGTAGAGATGGAATTTCACCTTGTTGGTCAGACTGGTCTCGAACTCCTGACCTCAAGTGATCCGCCTGCCTCAGCCTCCCAGAGTGCTGGGATTATAGGCGTGAGCCACCATGCATGGCCTCAGTGTTAAGCCCATTCTGCTTTTCCCCGCTTCATTGCTGGGTTCTGTGCACAAGGTGGCAGCAGCCCAGTTTCCAGGCCCCATGAACCAGCTTTTCCTGTCACCATGTATTGTGAAGAAAAGGCCAACATGGGAACACCATGTCACATGTTCCTGTGTTGGCCTTTTCTTCATCATACAGTGTCCCTCGGCGACTCTGCCAAGTCATTGCTGGTTTAACATCTTTCATCTAACCCCTGGGACCTGCTTTGCTTATTCACTCTTCCCCATTTCCTGTCACCACTTGGTTTCCAGATCTCAGTAATGAGTTGTCAAGTGCCACATGTCCCCAACTGCCAAGTGTCCTCCATGCCGCTGTTCTGCTTTCTTCCGGGCTACTCATGACAGCTGTGAATCCTGTGGGGTCATCTATGGTTCTTTGTATGCAGGGGCTCCAACGAGAAAAGAGGAAACTGCCCTCCCACTGAGCAATCCTCTGTGGCTTGGGTGGACAAGAAAGCTATATTGATATGTCGTCAGAACTCCTATCTTTCTTGTAGAAAAAAAATGGTTTCATTCTCATCTAGCTCAGAAAAAGCTCATTTAATTCCATGTTACAGATTTAGAATGATTTCCCGTGGCTGGGTTCATGATGCTTTGTGTCTGTGGTGATGTGAAATACCACTTGGTTCTTTTTTTGAGACAGAGTTTCACTCTTGTGTGGAGTGCAATAGTGTGATCTCGGCTCACCGAAACCTCCGCCTCCTGGGTTCGGGCAATTCTCCTGCCTCAGCCTCCTGGGTAGCTGGGATTACAAGCACGCGCCACCATGCCCAGCTAATTTTTTGTATTTTTAGTAGAGATGGGGGTTTCACCTTGTTGACCAGGATGGTTTTGATCTCTTGACCTCGTGATCCACCCGCCTCGGCCTCCCAAAGTGCTGGGATTACAGGCTTGAGCCACTGCGCCTGGCCCACCACTTGGTTCTTAAACTGTTGCCTTCGTGGTTCTTTTGTGGATAGCTACTGTACTTTGTACCAGTTGCCAATACTTCGGATTTCCCAGGAGGTCTGTTTTTGTTTTTTTGTTTTCTTAGATTCTGAACTATGTGGAGTGCTTCACTGGACCTAATATTATGGCCATGCACACGATGTTGATAAACAAACCTCCAGATGCTGGTAATTGTAAGGGGGAGGCAAGAAAAAACATAATGGTTTCATTAAAATGTGTCAGGTTGGCTGGGTGCAGCGACTCATGCCTGTAATTTCAGCACTGTAGGAGAGTGAGGGAGGAAGATCTCTGAGGCCAGGAGTTTGAGAGTGGCCTGGGCAAAGTAAGACTCTGTCTCTAAAAATAAAATTTAAAAATATCCAGGCGTGGTGGTGCGCACCTGTAGTCCCTTCTACTTGGGAGGCTGAGGTGGGAGGATCGCTTGAGCCCGGGAGTTGAAGGCTGCAATGAACTGTGATTGCATGCACTCTAGCCTGGGTGACAGAGTGAGACCCCGTCTCTAGAAAATAAATAAAATATAACCAAACAAAATAATGAAATAAAATAGTTGGCTCAAGGCTGTAATCCCAGCACTTTGGGAGGCCGAGGAGGGTGGATCACGAGGTCAACAGATCAAGACCATCCTGGTCAACATGGTGAAACCCCGTCTCTACTAAAAATACAAAAAAATAGCTGGGCATGGTGGCGCGTGCCTGTAATCCCAGCTACTCAGGAGGCTGAGGCAGGAGAATTGCCTGAACCCAGGGGGCGGAGGTTGCGGTAAGCCGAGATTGCGCCATTGCACTCCAGCCTGGGAAACGAGTGAAACTCCGTCTCAAAATAAATAAATAAATAAATAAATAATAAAAATAAAATAAAATCGTTGATGTCTAATCATATGTATGACTGTCAAACTTTGGATGAGTAAGTCTTAAAATAACTTCCACTACAACAACAGTGAAATGTGATGATGATTTCAGATGCTAACTGTAGAACTGTTGCTGAATTTTCAGATGACTGGCTCCCCAAAAATGCAGTCTAGCAGACATAACTGTTCATGTATCAAAGCTTTCTGACGTCCGATATCTCTAAGCTTGATCAGCTCTTCTTAGCTGTGATAGTGTGAATTCTTGCATTCCTGATAGGGGGACATTATTATCACTAATACAATTAAAATTGGAACTATGAGTCACAAACTATAGTTGTCTTTTTTTTTTTTTTGGCATGGAGTCTTGCTCTGTTGCCCAGGCTGGAGTACAGTGGTAAGATCTCTGCTCACTGCTACCTCTACCTCCTGGGTTCAAAGGATTCTCCTGCCTCAGCCTTCCAAGTAGCTGGGATTACAGGAATGTGCCACCATGCCTGGCCAATTTTTATTTTTTAATAGAGATGGGGTTTTGCGATATTGTCCAGGCTGGTCTCAATCTGACCTCAGGTGATCCAGCCACCTTGGCCTCCCAAAGTGCTGGGATTACAGGCGTAAGTCACTGCGCCCAGCCTATAGTTGTCTTTAAAATGCCTTGTGCTTGCTAAAATGTAGATTCTAAGACCTCATTGGCAGAGAGACTGATTGAGAAATATAACCCAGGTTTCTGTATTTCAATAACCTTCCCCATGCACCAAGTGGGGCATGGGTGCGCATCTGTGGACCCAGCTAGTCAGGAGGCTAGCGGGGAGGATCATTCGAGCCCAGGAGTCCAAGTCCAGAGATTCTAGTGTAGATCACTCATACTACACTGAGAAATTCCTCTATGCCTGCAGTAGAAATCAGCCATGAGAGACACCCCTATCCTTTCTGCCCTTTTCTTCTTTCTGATCACCAGGAGAGGTTTATGTGATAGAAGGCGGCTTAGCATTACCAGGTCTCTCCCTCCCTGAAGAGATCTGGTGGTCAGGAGCCAGGCTCAGCGAGCAAACCAGGGGAAAATGTCCATGTGGTCATGGGCACTCTGACTGGACATTGGGCATGGAATGACTAGTGTTCTGGGGGGTGAGGACCTCTTGGAGAACTTTTATTGATTTATTTTTGAGATGATTTTTATTGATTTATTTTGAGATGGAGTCTTGCGCTGTTGCCCAGGCTGGAGTGCAGTGGCTCCATCTCTGCTCACTGCAACCTCCACCTCTGAAGTTCAAGGGATTCTCCTGCCTCAGCCTCCTGAGTAGCTATTATTACAAGTGCTGGCCACCACACCCAGCTTTTTTTTTGTATTTTTAATAGAGACGGGATTTAATTGTGTTGGTCAGCATGGTCTTGAACTCCTTACCTCAGATGATCCACTCCCAAAGTGTTGGGATGAAAGGCATGAGCCACTGCACCTGGCTTTTTTTTTTTTTTTTTTTTTTTTTGAGACAGGGTCTCACTCTCTGTTACCCAGGCTGGAAGGCAGTGGTGCAATCACGGCTCACTGCAGCTCAGCCTCCAGGCTCGGGTGATCCTCCCCTCCCACCTCAGCCTCACAATTAGCAGCAACTACAGGTGCGTGCCACCGTGCTCAGCTAATGTTTAGTTTTTTCTGTAGAAACGAGGTCTCACTATGTTTCCCAGGCTGGTCTTGAACTCCTGGGCTCAAGCAATCCATCTGCTTCAGTTACAGGCGTGAGCCACTGCACCCAGCCTCAAGCATCCCTTAATAGTAGGTTTTCTTTCAGGCAAGAAGACGTCCCGCCATCCCCTGCACCAGGACCTGCACTATTTCCCCTTCAGGCCCAGCAATCTCATCGTTTGCGCCTGGACGGCGATGGAGCCCATCGACCGGAACAACGGCTGTCTGGTTGTGCTCCCAGGCACCCACAGGGGCTCCCTGAAGCCTCACGATTACCCCAAGTGGGAGGTAGTCTGCCTGTGGCTGAGTCTTGATCTGTCTCCTTTGCAGTTTCTGTTTCACATCAGTATCCATAAAGGGCTTACATTTCATTTCTGAGCAAAACATTGCACTAAGATTTGCAATGAAGATCAGAGAAAGTTTAAGGATGCCAGAGAAGACATTCATCACAACTATTTTTTGAACACTTTTTTTTTTTGAGACCAGGTCTTGCTCAACTTACTGCAACCTTCACCTCCCGGGTTCAAGCAACCCTCCCTCCTCAGTCTCCCTAGTAGCTGAGGCTATAGGTGTGCACCACCATGCCCGGCTAATTTTTGTATTTTTAGTAGAGATGGGGTTTCTCTATGTTGGCGAGGCTGGTCTCAAACTCCTGACCTCAAGGGATCCATTGACTTGGCCTCCCAAAGTGCTGAGAGTCAAGGCATGAGCCGCTGTACCTGGCCTCAACATGTGTTTGAAAGCCAGCCAAGATGGGGAGCTTGGGTCAGTGCTGTATAGTATCGAAGACTGTAAAGCTCGCTGCAGAGCTGAGACATAAACACGTCAACCCCAGATGTGTGTGGTAGGCCCCAAGTTAGTCTTACTCACTAACTGACGGCCCTCAGAGTACGGAAGGAGAGGTTGTATCCTTGCAAATGCAGAGACCAGCAAAGGATCGGGGGAGGCTGGTGTCTGACCTGAGCTTTGCAGGACAGAGTAGAATGTCCCATGGGGAAGAGTCTACATGGGAAGGCACAAGGTCAAGGGCAAGCCTGAACCTGACCAAAGAACGGGAAGGACCCAGGGAGCTCGAATTCTAGATGGGCTGGGGGTGGGGGCATATTTTGGGGAGTAGCAGAGGAGGTGAGCACAAAAAGGTACGTTAGGACCAGATTAGAAAAGGCCGTTATACTAACAAGTCTGCAGTTTATCTGGGGGGAGAATAGGAACTTTTTAGGAAGATCAAAGAGCTTTTAGTTTAAAGAAAAAGTTGTATTGAGGTATAATTGTGATGTAAATTGTGTTTTGTGTGTATCATTTGATCATTTTTTACGCACACCTGCAAAATCATCACCACAATCAGGACACTCCATCTTTCCCTTCCCTGCTCCACTGAGTTGCTTTCTGTTACTACTGATTAGTTTGCATTTTCCTTTTCTTTCTTTCTTGTTTCTATTTATTTTTTTGAGACGGAGTTTTGCTTGCCCAGGCTGGAGTGCAATGGTGCGATCTCGGCTCACCGCAAACTCCGCCTTCCAGATTTAAGCGATTCTCCTGCCTCAGCCTCTGGAGTGGCTGGGATTACAGGCATGTGCCACCGCACCCAGCTAATTTTGTATTTTTAGTGGAGACGGGGTTTCTCCATGTTGGTCAGGCTGCTCTCGAACTTCCGGCCTTGTAATCCACCTGCCTCTGCCTCCCACAGTGCTGGGATTACAGTACAGGTGTGAGCCACCGCACCCCGCCTAGTTTGCATTTTCTAAAATGTCACAGACGTGGAATCACATAGTATAGATTTTTTTGTTCCCGTCTGGCTTCTTTCACTCAGCGTGGTGACTGTGAGGTTCACTGATGCTGTGTGTATGACGCAGCTCTCGCCCTTCCATTGCTGAGTAGAATTCCATTGCATGGCTGCACCGCGGTTTGTTCATCCATTCAGCTGTCGATGCTTGAAACTGTTCGATGCATTTGAGCTCATGAGTGATGGGGTCAGATGAGCTATTCAAGGACAATAATGTCATGGTCTGGTGCAGGACATATTGGAGGTATAGGAGTCTAGAAGCAAAGAAACCAGAGAGATGACTAGTAACATGTTAGGTCTAAGGTAAAAAGATTCTGTGGGACCCAAGGTGGGAGGATCCCTTGAGCCCAGGAGTTCAAGACTAGCCTGGGGAACATAGTGAGGTCCCACCTCTAAAAATAATAATAATTGGCTGGGCGTGGTGGTGTATGCTTGTAGTCCCAGCTATTCAGGAGGCTGAGGCAGGAGGATCACTTGAGCCAGGAGTTCGAGGCTGCAGTGAGCTATGCTGGTGCCACTGCACTCCAGCCTGGGTGGCAGAGCAAGTTCCTGTATCAAAAGAAAAAGAATGCCAGGTGCGGTGGCTTACTCCTATACTTCCAGCACTTTGGGAGGCTGAGGCGGGTGGATTATCTGAGGTTGGGAGTTCAAGACCAGCCTGACCAACATGGAGAAACCTCGTCTCTACTAAAAATATACAAATTAGCCGGGTGTGGTGGCACATGCCTGTAATCCCAGCTACTAGGGAGGCTGAGGCAGGAGAATCGCTTGAACCCGGGAGGCAGAGGTTACAGTGAGCCAAGATTGTGCCATTGCACTCCAGCCCGGGATACAAGAGTGAAACTCCATCTAAAAAATAAAAAAGGAAGAAAAAAGAAAAGATCTTAGTATCCCATGATGCTGTGAGTGGAATGATCCCCCGTTGTTAAGGCAGGGAGAATGAGTTGTGATTTAATAGGAAGTGAAAAACATAATTTTAAGAACTCCTGTCTCTGCTGGACACAGTGACTCACACCAGTAATCCTAGCACTTTGGGAGGCTCAGGTGGGTGAATCACTTGAGGTAAAGAGTTTGAGACCAGCGTGGCCAACATGCTGAAACTCTGTTTCTGCTAAAAATACAAAAATTATCTAGGCATGGTGGCGTGCTCCTGTAGTCCCAGCTATTGGGAGGCTGAGGTAGGAGAATCACTTGAACCCGGGAGGGGGAGGTTGCAGTGAGCTGAGATTGCACCAGTACACTCCAGCCTGGCCAACAGAGCAAGACACCATCTCAAAAAAAATAATAATAAAAAAAGAATGTCTCAGATTTCTGGCACCGACAATTAGTGTCAAATGAAAATATAGGAGTGTCTGGATCCTGATATAAAACCACTTCATGTGAAACTCATCAGTGAAGCTCAGGTTTAGGTAAAGTTCGGTGCAAGCAACTGCAATGGGCTTTGGCTGACAGAAGGCAAAGGGAACGAGTTGCAGGGCTTCCGGAGCTCGCAGAGGCCCAGATACCCTGCTCAGATGCAGAGTGGGAGGTATGATTAGCTTAGTGTGGGTCACACCTTCACCCTGGCCAGGAGAGCAGGGCTCTGGGTCAGAGTCTCAGCACTGTCTAAGAGGGATGTAGTCATTCCCAAAAGGAACTGGGGATGCTGGCAGGAAGAGGAATGGGCTGCTGACTCAAGGTGCTTCTCATGTCAATTTCTTTAATAAAGACATAACCCCATTACCTAAAGCAGTGACTAATTTGGGAAATAGTTACAAACACACACAGTGTTTTAATTTACTATTCTTTCATTATTCTGGATGTGACATGAGTGCTTTTGAGCTCAAAAAAATTGAGCATTTTCTTCCCCCTGTTTTGGGAAAATAGTTAACTTTCCAGAAACCCTCCTGAATAAGAGATGAAGGATCTTTTTAAAGGTCTAGGTGAGGAGAACACTTACAGATTGAGAATAGAAATGCCTAGGAGATAGCTACATCGGCCACAAAAGCAAAGCTAACCTAGATCTTCATGTACAATGCGGTCACGAAGGGCAGGGGGAAAGTCCAAAAAAATCAGTGACTTTAGTATCAACATGTGACTTCATCTATTATTACTATTATTTTTTGAGACAGGGTTTTGCGCTGTTGCCCAGGCTGAAGGGCAGTGTCCCCCTCCTGGCTCAATCCATCCTCCCACCTCAGCCTCCTGAGTAGCTGGGACCACAGGCTCACGCCACCATGCCCAGCTAATTTTGGCAGTTTTTGTAGAGATGGGGTTTTGCCATGTTGCCCAGGCTGATATTGAACTCCTAAGCATAAGCAATTCTCCCAACTTGGCCTCCCAAAGTGCTGAGATGATAGACATGAGCCACGATGCCTGGCCAACATGTGACTCTTAAAAACCAGATATCTGAGAGGCTTTTATATACTAAAAAAAAAAAAAGTAAACATTTAGATTAGACGTTTAAATTAGAGAATGCTTTTTTAAATGTAGACATTTAAATTAGAAATGCTTTCTCTCCCTGATGAACAATTGACAATGTCTTCAATTATGGTACTCCCTCAAACATAGACTTGGTTTGCTTCTTATTCTAGGGGGGAGTTAACAAAATGTTCCACGGGATCCAGGACTATGAGGAAAATACCGCCCGGGTGCACCTGGTGATGGAGAAGGGAGACACCGTCTTCTTCCATCCTTTGCTCATCCATGGATCTGGTCGGAACAAAACCCAGGGGTTCCGGAAGGTAGGCATTCACATTGCTGCACCTGCTGCAGAGCATGGGTTAGAAATAAAAATTGTATTTATTTAATTCAAATTAATTAAATAAAATTTTAATTTAATTACATTAACATTTTAAAGATTTGAGGCTTTTGGTCGGGTACAGTCACTCACGCCTGTAATCCCAGCACTTTAGGAAGCCGAGGTGGGCAGATCACCAGCTTAGGAGTTCGAGACCAGCCTGACCACATGGTGAAACCCTGTCTCTACTAAAAACACAAAAATTAGCCAGGTGTGGTGGTTCATGCCTGTAGTCCCAACTATTCAGGAGGCTGAGGCAGGGAATCACTTGAACCCGGGAGGTGGAGGTCGCCGTAAGCTGAGATTGTGACACTGCACTCCAGCCTGGATGACAGAGTGAGACTTTGTCTCAAAAACCAAACAAAAAAAAAGTTGAAGCGGAGTCTCATTCTATCGCCAGGCTAGAGTGCAGTGGCAGGATCTCGTCTCACTGTAACCTCCACCTCCTGGGTTCAAGCGATTCCCCTGCCTCAGCCTCCTGAGTAGCTGGGACTACAGGCATGCGCTGCCATGCCCCACTAATTTTTTGTATTTTAGTAGTGATGAGGTTTCACCATGGCCAGGATGGTCTCGATCTCCTGATGTTGTGATCCACCTGCCTCGGCCTCTCAAAGTGCTGGGATTACAGGCGTGAGCCACCGTATCTGGCCATTTGTGGCTTTTAACCAACCTGAACTTTAATCCAGTTTATTTACCAGGAAATAGATTTGCTTACCTTGGGCTTTTGTGTTCTTATCAGTAAGAAGCCAGGTGGCCTCATGATCATGATCAGTATTGACCCAACCTTGTCAATACTGATCTTAAAATCTAGGTGCAGTGGCCCATGCCTGTAATCCCAGCACTTTGGGAGGCTGAGGTGGGAGGATCACTTGGGGCCAAGAGTTCTAGACCAGCCTGGGCAACATGACGAAACTCCACTATTAAAAAAAAAAAAAAAATCACTGTTGTCTCCTCAGGCCATGGGTTAGGGGCCAAGTTTCATCTTCCATTCATTCATATTTCCATCAGCCTCATCAGGGTCAGGATTAGGGTGGGACAAGTTGGGGCACGCTCCCCAGGGGTAAAATTTAAGGGGATGCCAAAAAAATCTCAGCAGTCAGCTGGGCACGGTGGCTCACACCTCTAATCCCAGCACTTTGAGATGCTGAGGTGGGTGGATCACCTGAGGTCGGGAGTTCAAGACCAGCCTGACCAACATGGAGAAACCCCGTCTTTACTAAAAAGACAAAATTGGTCAGTGGGGGTGGTGGCACATGCCTGTAATCCCAGCTACTTGGGAGGCTGAGGCAGGAGACTTGCTTGAACCTGGGAGGCGGAGGTTGCGGTGAGCCGAGATCATGCCATTGCACTCCAGTCTGGGAACAAGAGTGAAACTCCGTCTCAAAAAACAAACAAACAAACCCCGCCGCAAACAGGTTTACTAATATTTTAATGCAAAATTTTTAAAAAATGAAAATTAATGCAAAATACCCAATGTATCGGCTGCGTGCAATGCCAAAAATTTAAATAAAAGCCACTATCAGACGGCACGCTAGCACAACCTTCAGAGCTGTGCAGGGAGGGAGGTGCAGGTACAATAACCCAAATCATGTTGTGAGTTTTAATACATTGACTTGGCAATTTTTTTTTTTTTTTTGAGATGGAGCCTTGCTCTTTTGCCCAGGCCTGAGTGCAGCGGTGCAATCTCAGCTCACTGCAACCTCAGCCTCCAGGGTTTAAGCAACTCTTCTGCCTCTGCCTAAGTAGCTGAGATTATAGGCACATGCCACCACACCCGGGTGATTTTTGAATTTTTTAGTAGAGACAGGGTTTCCCCAGGTTGGCCAGTCTGGTCTCGAATTCCTGGCCTCAAGTGACCCTCTCGCCTAGGCCTCCCAAAGTGCTAGGATGACAGATGTGAGCCACTTCGCCTGGACCCATGTTTTTTAATGCCTTTATTTTTAAATGTTTACGATTTATTTATATATTTATTTGAGACAGTGTCTTGCTCTTTTGCCCAGGCTGGAGTGCAGTGGCGTAATCATAGCTCACTGTGGCTTGGAACTCTTGGCTTAAGCCATCCTGTCTTGGCCTCTTGAGTAGCTGGGACTACAGGCACGCACCACCACACGTGGCTAATTTTATTTTTTGTACAGACATGGTCATGCTATTTTGCCCAGGCTGGTCTTGAACTCTTGGCCTCAAGTGATCCTCCTGCCTTGGCTTCCCAGAGTACTGGAATTATAGGCATGATCCACCATGCCTGGGCTTAATGACTTTAATGTTCTGGAAAAATATTGCTATAACTACATAAAGTTAAAGATACAGAGGTGCATATTTTCCCTTTGCTTTGGACTCTGTTCCAGTACTGTATGGCACCAGGGCTTACAGAGGCAATGGAGTCTGTGACTCCACTCCCTAGAAATTTGTTGTTTGGGGCAAAATAGAAAGTCCTTCTGACAAGTGTGATCGCCATAAGATCATTCGCTTGTGACAAAAAAGGTAAGTTTTAATGATTGCTTTGAAGCTTAGCTCTGTTTGTAACTTTTTCTAAAATGGGAAGAACCAAGTAATTTCATCCTTACCCTCAGAAGGAAACAAGAGGCATAATACATGTCAGTGATATTGGCCTTTAAATGTCCTTTTGATTTGAGAGAAGGTGTCTGTATTATTTTCTTTCTGAAGGTATTTTTGGTTCTTTTCATAATCTATTGCCACTGAAATAATGGTCCATCCCAAATTGGACCAGTAACTAACTTTTGAGATAAACTGCCATTGAATGCGGTCCTTTTTAAGACTTTGGGATATCCATTCATTAGGAAAATCAAACGCTAAAAAAAAACTAAAGACCTCTTGCTGTCATAATTCCACTCCCTCTCCCATATATACCCTTCGACAATAAATGTCACGTCTGGTTAACAATCTTTTGAAATTTCTCAGTTAACTTTTAGCTGGAAACAAAAAGAGGCTTAGCTACAAAGAGAGTGACACAGGACACAGTGGACCTGACTTTCCATTTAGAAATCAAACATGGCCGGGCGCGGTGGCTCACGCCTGTAATCCCAGCACTTTGGGAGGCCGAGGCGGGTGGATCACGAGGTCAAGAGATCAAGACCATCCTGGTCAACATGGTGAAACCCCGTCTCTACTAAAAATACAAAAAATTAGCTGGGCACGGTGGCGTGTGCCTGTAATCCCAGCTACTCAGGAAGTTGAGGCAGGAGAATTGCCTGAACCCAGGAGGCGGAGGTTGCAGTGAGCCGAGATCGCGCCATTACACTCCAGCCTGGGTAACAAGACTGAAACTCCATCTCAAAAAAGAAAAAAAAAGGAAATCAAACACGGAGTGAAATAATTGACTTTCTAAAAGAAAGACTCTCTGCTTGGTTGCTGGTATTCATGGGATGTTTTTCTGCAACATTAGTTTGTTCACTTTGCACAGGCAATTTCCTGCCACTTCGCCAGTGCTGACTGCCACTACATCAATGTGAAGGGCACCAGTCAAGAAAACATTGAGAAGGAAGTTGCAGGATTAGCAAACAAACTCTATGGACTTGCAGATTCTGTGGACTTGAAGGTATGTTTGTATATAATAGCAAGGTAAAACTCTAAATGAATACCTCCCATGTTTAGTTTAATTAATCTGTAAGTTATATGTAGAATAACAATACTAACTTCTGCTATGTAATTCTTTGTAAAGTACAAAAGTACATTCATTTTCATTTTCTTTTTTTTTGAGACAGAGTCTTGCTCTGTCACCCAGGTTGGAGTGCAATTATGCGATCTTGGCTCACTACAACCTCTGCCTCTCGGGTTTAAGCAATTCTCCTGCCTCAGCCTCCTGAGTAGCTGGGATTACAGGCTCATGCCACCATGCCTGGCTAATTTTTGTATTCTTAGTAGAGATGGGGTTTCACCGTGTTGGCCAGGCTGGTCTCGAACTCTTGACCTTGTAATCTATCCACCCAGCCTCCCAGAGTGCTGGGATTACAGGCGTGAGCCACTGTGCCTGGCTCATATTCATTTTCTTATTTTCTTCACCAAAACCCAGTGGGGCAGCCAGTGTGCACTCCATGCTGTCAATGACAAGAAAACAAGTCCCTGAGGTTGATCTAAGTTACCTAAGTGACCAAGCTAGATTTCAGAGTCAGGCCAAATTTGAAAATTGCTTTTTCCATCATCCCTTGCTGTTTGCTGAAAAAACAAGAGCCAAGAAATAACATCTAAATTATTTTATTAAGAGCAAAGTGGGAGCCGGGCGCAGTGGCTCACGCCTGTAATCCCAGCACTTTGAGAGGCTGAGGCAGCTGGATCACCTAAGGTCAGGAGTTCAGACCATCTTGACCAACATGGTGAAACCCTGTCTCTTCTAAAAATATAAAAATTAGCTGGGCATGGTGGCACATGCCTGTAATCCCAGCTACTCGGGAGGCTGAGGCAGGAGAATCGCTTGAACCCAGGAGACAGAGGTTGTGGTGAGCCAAGATTGTGCCATTGCACTCCAGTTTGGGCAACAAGAGCAAAAAATTTTGTCTCAAAAAAAAAAAAAAAAGAGCAAATGGGGGAAAAAAATAACCACCAAAAAAGCAGTAATCCTGGACACCATGTTCCCTATTATCACCTAATCAGGAGTAGAACACTCAAAATGGCTCAGACAAGTAACATAAGAGTAAGCAGGCCAGGTGTGGTGGCTCACGCCTGTAATCCCAACACTTTGGGAGGTCGAGGTGGGCTGATCACCTGACGTTAGGAGTTTGAGACCGACCTGACCAACACGGTGAAACTGTTTCTACTAAAAATACAAAATTAGCCAAGTGTGGTGGCACACACCTGTAATCCCAGCTAATTGGAAGGCTGAGGCAGAAAAATCTCTTGAACCCAGGAGGTGGAAGTTACAGTGAGCCACGATTGCACCATTGCACTCCAGCCTGGGCAACAAGAGCAAAACTTCATCTCAAAAAAAAAAAAAAAAAAAAAGCAGAAAAATGGCAGGGAACTGTTTGTGCTGTAACCAGACAAGACATTGACCCAGTTATGTTACCTGGCACTAACAAGTATCCTGAATAAAACAGGGCTGACAGCTGGGGGACCCATACTTAATTTAGTTAACTCTCTCTTAGAAGTTGATTAAGTAGGCCAGGAGTGGTGGCTCATGCCTGTAATCCCAGAATTTGGGAGGCTTTGGGAGGCTAAGGCAGACAGATCACTTGAGGCCAGGAGTTCAAGATCAGCCTGGCCAACATAGTGAAACCCTGTCTCTACTAAAAATACAAAAATTAGCCAGGTGTGGTGACACACACCTGTAATTCCAGCTACTGAGGAGGCTGAGACACCAGAACTGCTTGAACCTGGAAGGTGGATGTTGCAGTGAGCCAAGATCATGCCACTGCCCTCCAGCCTGGGCAGTGGAGTAAGACTGTGTCTCAAAAAAAATTTATTTTTAATAGTTGATTAAGGGCCGGGTGCGGTGGCTCACACCTGTAATCCCAGCACTTTGGGAGGCCAAGGAGGGCGGATCATGAGGTCAAGAGATCGAGACCATCCTGGGCAACATGGTGAAACCCCGTCTCTACTAAAAATACAAAAAGATTAGCTGGGCTTGGTGGCGCGCGCCTGTAGTCCCAGCTAATTGGGAGGCTGAGGCAGAAGGATTGCTTGAACCCAGGAGGCGGAGGTTGCAGTGAGCCAAGGTCATGCCACTGCACTCCAGCCTGGTGCCTGGTGATGGAGTGAGATTCTGTCTCAAAAAAAAAAAAAAAAAGTTGATTAAGTAGATTAATTTGAGTTATTTTGTTTACTAATGATTTGCAGGGATTATTTTCCCTATTTAACCTTTCATAAAGGGTAGAAATTGACTTTGTCTTGCGGTGAAATTGAAGGTAAATTGAAGGCAGACTGAAGTGTTCCATAAACTCACTGTTTGGTATTATTTCCAGGATATTTGGATGTTTCGAGCTCGACTCGTGAAAGGAGAAAGAACCAGCCTTTGAAATAGCCCTTTGCTCGGCCGGGTGCGGTGGCTCACGCCTGTAATCCCAGCACTTTGGGAGGCTGAGGCGGGTGGATCACGAGGTCAAGAGATTGAGACCATCCTGGTCAACATGGTGAAACCCTGTCTCTACTAAAAATACAAAAAATTAGCTGGGCACAGTGGCGTGTGCCTGTAATCCCAGCTACTCAGGAGGCTGAGGCAGGAGAATTGCCTGAACCCAGGAGGCAGACGTTGCAGTGAGCCGAGATCGTGCCATTGCACTCTAGCCTGGGTAACAAGACCGATACTCCGTCTCAAAAAAAAAAAAAGGAAATAGCCCTCTGCTATAACTCTTTTAATGGAAAACCAAAGTGTCTAAGGAAAATGTTTCTTAATGAGTTAATGTAATCTTTTCTATCACTTGTTAAAATCAGAAAACATGTATCAGGTACCAAGTGCATAGAGTTAGTTATGCTCTACAGTGGTGTTGCTTTAATGGAAATAAAAACAGTAAAAGTGAAATAAATTAAAAAAAAAGCACAGTAAAAGTGAAATACTACTGTTTTAAGGAAAATTAATTTAGGGTTGCATCCATTAAAGGTGATTGGTGTATCATTTAAGTGTTAAATCAGTGTCTTTCTTTCAATTAGCTCTTTATCCAAGCAGAAGTGAATGATTTGGAGCTCAGGGTGTGTTTTGTATCCTCTTTCTGGTAAACCCACTTCCTACCAATTTTATGTCATAAGAGATTTTTGCCCCCAAAATCTAGTACAATGTATAACACATAAACATTTAGTGAAGGACATACCAAGGGCGTCATGGAGTCCAAATAAAGGCGAATATTCCTGCTCGGACAAGGACTTTCTTCTATGATTTCTTCAACCCAACCATCCCCTTAACGAGCAGGGAGACTTGGTCTTTCTAGTCCTTTACTCTGTTCCTGAAGAATGAAAACAAGGGCCGGGCATGGTGACTCATGCCTGTGATCCCAGAACTTTGGGAGGCTGAGGCCATTGGATCACTTGAGATCAGGAGTTAGAGACCAGCCTGGCCAACATGGTGAAACCCCATCTCTACCAAAAATACAAAAAAATAGCCAAGCATGGTGGCACTATGCCTGTTATCCCAACTATTCAGGAGGCTGATGCAGAAGAATCACTTGAACCTGGGAGGCAGAGGTTGCAGTGAGCCAAGATCACTCCACTGCACTCTAGCCCAGAGGACAGTGAGACCCTCTATCAAAAATACAATTTTTTAAAAAAGTTTTTTGATGGAGATGAAGGTGACTTCATTTGATGTTTTTTTGTTTTTGTTTTGTTTTTTGAGATGGAGTCTGACTCTGTCACCAGGCTGGAGTGCAGTGACCATCTTGGCTTACTGCAACCTCCGCCTCCCAGGTTCAAGCGATTCTTCTGCCTCAGCCTCCCAAGTAGCTAGGACAACAGGCATGTGCCACCATGCCCAGCTAATTTTTATATTTTTAGTAGAGACGGGGTTTCACCATGTTGGCCAGGATGGTCTTGATCTCTTGACTTAGTGATCTGCCCACCTCAGCCTCCCAAAGTGCTGGGATTACAGGCATGAGCCACCATGCCCAGCCCATTTGATGTTTCTTATTGGGTAGGGCTGCTGGAAACCTTTCACATTTATGAATGAAGCCTAACCTCCTTCAAGCTATAGGGATATTTTTAGATAATTTTGCCTCATTTGGAGTGAGCGTAGACTGGGCAAACTTATTTCAAGACAGTACCATCTTTCAGTACCAGCTGAGGGCAGCAAGGAGACATAGTCCTTATTTTTACAAATTCTGGTTAGGGCTTTAGTAAGAAAGAAATAACAGAGCCCCTTTCTTGTCGTTCTGGTAAGCACAAGTTTTCCTAAATCTAGTGTTACTGTGTGTGCTGTTTTCTTTGTGAGGACACCCAATTTAAGCTCAGCTCCCAGTGGGAACTGGAGAAGGCGAATCACTGACAGGCTGTAAGGAAATTAGATTGTGGGATGATTAGAAATAAAATATGATTAAGGAATGTCTGTATAAACAGCATACGGAGAGCCCTGCTTTGTTACGGAATAAATTCTTTCAATTATTCAAATTTAGAGTAAATATGAAAAACTGAACTTCAATAGGAATATTGAAAAGCAATTTGTTATTTCCCGTGTGCATTTGTGAGTGAAAACCAGCTTGTCACCATCAGGAAACATTTATTCTCCATCTGATCCATGTCCCTTTTGTCTGCTAGTGCATGTAAGAAATATCCAAGCACCCACTCTTCCTTTAAAAAATTTTTTTTGAGACACAGTCTTGCTCTGTCCCCGAGGCTGGAGTGCAAAGGTACGATCTCGGCTCACTGGATTCAAGTTATTCTCCTGCCTCAGCCTCCTGAGTAGCCGGGACTACAGGTATGTGCCACCACACCCAGCTAATTTTTGTATTTTTAGTAGAGACAAGGTTTCGCCATGTTAACCAGGCCAGTCTCAAACTCCTGGCCTTGTGAGCCACCGAGCCCAGGCTACACTTTGTTTTTTTTTTTTTTAAGAGATGCAGTCTTACTTTTTTGTGTAGGCTGGTCTCAAACTTTTGACCTCCAGCAATCCTCCCACCTTGGCCTCTCAAAGCGCTGAGATTACAGCTGCGAGCCACTTTGCCTGGCTTTATTTTTTACTGTCTAATAGAAAAGTGATATGTGTGATTATTGGAATTTGCATTAATTTGATCACAATGAGATTGAGGATTTTTCATATCACTACGGGCGTTCTGTGGCTGACTTGCTGAAGGCTGGTCTTAGGACCAAGAGGATACCTTATGGTGGAAATACCCAAGAACAGATTTCAAGTAGCCATATATGGCTGGAATGTCTGGAGATACCTAGCTTTTTTTTTCCATCTCATTCATTTCAAGCCTGAAGCCATCTAATGTCAAGTCCGAAGCCCCCTGAAGGCCACTGTTAGGTGTCCTGGAACGGAAGGGGAGAAACACGCAAGGGTTTGTACCTGATGCTATTCGAAATACGTAACAGAGGCACCATCAATCAGATACCACACGTACAGAAATGTGGCATTTTAGTTGGTAACAGCATTGTCCTGAGCAAGGCAAGGCAGGCCTCACAGGGCCCTTGCTCAGCATGTTTGGAAGAGAATTGAGAAGGTTCCCACCCCTGTCTGAAATTCCACCACTCACCACTGAGTTTGAGGACCAAGCCTGTTTCTAGATATTCTCTTTTTTTTTTTTTTTTTTGAGATGGAGTCTTGCTCTGCCGCCCAGGCTGGAGGAGTGTAGTGGCGCAATCTCAGCTCACTACGACCTGCCAGGTTCAAGCGATGTCCCTGCCTTAGCAGGACACATCCTCTTTTAAAATGCAAGCATGTCTAGAATGACAGCACTGGATCCTCATATCTTAGTGAAGACATTTCTTCTTTATCCAGAGAAGAAATAAAGCAGCCTTTGGGAACAAGGGAAGGATGAAAAATGGGTGCAGAAAAGCAAAAGGGAAGAGGGTCACAGGAGCTGTGGGACAGCGTCGTGAAGTGTCCTCAGCTGAAGTTGGCTTCCCCGGAGCTGGCACTGAGCCTCGGAGCATGGCTGCCACATCTGCTGCCCACACACTGAAAGGCTCTCATGGGTGGTAAGCAGCCCTCGTCCTGAGCTCCTCAGCCCCTGAAGTGGTGCCCCTCCCTCCCAGCTGCTCCAGCCTCTCTCCTGAGATTCTTCCGCTCTATCCCCAAGTCCAGCAACCAAACTGGTAATACCAGGCTACCCAGAAGCCTCCAGGACTTCTCCTGGCATTGTGGACATTTGCTCTAAGCCTCACTGGCCATTCTACTTTTGGTTTTATTATTTTATTTTGAGACAGAGTCTCACTTCGTCACTCAGGCTGGAGTGCAGTGGTACAATCCCGGCTCACTGCAACCTCCACCTCCTGGGTTCAAGCTATTCTCCCACCTCAGTCTCCAGAGTAGCTGGGATTACAGGCATGTGCCAGCATACCTGGCTAATTTTGTATTTGTAGTAGAGACAGAGTTTCACCATGTTGGCCAGGCTGGTCTTGAACTCCTGAGCTCAGGTGATCCACCTGCCTTGGTCTCCCAAAGTGCTGGGATTATAGACGTGAGCCACCATGCCCAACCCATTCTACATTTTAATATCACTGCTTCCAAGAGCAGTCTCATTGATCATAAAACAAATCAAAAGAGATTCTGCTACATATTCAAACAGTTGTTGGCAACTTACTGCACTAATCATTGAAACTGTCTTTCAATCCCAGATCATTTCTCCTGCCCTTCTATGCCATGCTGGGACAGGAATGGGTTACTGGATATTTCTTTCTCTCTCTCTCCCTTTTTTTTTATTTTTAATTATTTTTAATTTTTATTTATTTATTTATTTATTTATTTTGAGACGGAGTTTGGCTCTTGTTACCCAGGCTGGAGTGCAATGGCGCTATCTTGGTTCACCGCAACCTCCGCCTCCTGGGTTCAGACAGTTCTGCCTCAGCCTCCCGAGTAGCTGGGATTACAGGCACGCACCACCATGCCAGCTAATTTTTTGTATTTTTAGTAGAGACAGGGTTTCACCATGTTGACTAGGATGGTCTCGATCTCTTGACCTCGTGATCTACCCGCCTCGGCCCCCCAAAGTGCTGGGATTACAGGCGTGAGCCACCACGCCCTGCCCTTTTTTTTTTTTTAATTGCTTGTTTATTTGTTTTTAATTTTTAATGTTGTTGTTTTTGTTTTGCTTTGTTTTTTAGAGACAGACTCTCACTCTGTCACCCGGGCTGGTATGATCATAGCTCACTGCAGCCTCGACCTCTTTGGTTCAAGAGATCCCCCCTCAGCCTCCTGAGGAGCTGGGACCGCAGATGCACACCACCATGCCCAGCTAATTTTGTTTATTTATCTTTTTTTGTAAAGCAGGATCTCCCTATGCTGCCCAGGCTGGCCTCAAACTTCTGGGCTCCAGCAATCCTCCTGACTCAGCCTCCCAAACTGCTGGGATTACAGGCATGAGCTACCTACCTGGGCTTTGCCTTTGTATTATTTTATTTTTAGTATTTCCTTACTTTCTGGCGCTATAAGGTGGTCCAGGACTGTCTTGTATCTTCCTGCCCTTTGTCCTATAATGAGGCACTTCTCCAAGGAGCCCTGGTTCTACTTATTGGAACTGTTGGAAACCAAGATCTAGGCCTGAGGTGCGCTTGCAACGTGCACTGTCACCAAGCTCGCTCAGTGATTCTTATGCACGCCACAGCTGGCGATCCCCTGCCCCAGCATCTCTGGAAGGCCACAATCATTCAGAGACAATAATATCATGCTCTGGTCTGGGGAGGTTTATATTTGCTCAGAGCCTTCCATGGGCCTCTGACATTCATTCGTCTTCAGGCTTGGAGTTTCTTGGAACATGCGTTTGTCCAGGAGGTGAAGAAACAGGACTTTTTGTATTAATTCAGTTTTGATTTCAACCACACGAAATTTACTACTCATTTAGAAGCTGAAACAAAATTTTAAATTAAAATAATGGAGAGGAAGAAATTGGGAGTCATTTGGGGGCTGGATACCCAGGGGGACAGGCATCACTGTCCCCCAGCCTGTTTGGGTATTTCTGCCCTAGGTCAGGA